AGCTAAAATGCCAGAAAAAAAAGAAAAGTAAAGTAATGTAAAGAAGAGATGGTAAAAAGAAGTAACAAATTTTCCGGAAATTTTTGTACCAGTTTATCGGGTTTTCGTTTAATTTTCTCGCTTTCTTCGATTTAAGGTTTTATAAAATATTTAAATATTGTTTTTCGTTCTGGCTTTTTTCTTCTATTTTTGGTTGTCATGACTCGGAGACAAGCAAACAAATACGGAGACAAGTGCAGTGGACGAAAGACTAAAATAGGCGACGGAAAACGGAAATCAGGGGACAAACTGGGCGGCGTTTGGCCAGAACTCAGGGCCATTTGTCCAACAACAACCATTTATATGAATTTAGAAATTAAACATATTTATTATCTTACTTATTACTAGCATGCCTCTTCGAACTATTTCCGAATTTCTGTTTTAATTTTAGATTTGTATGTCTATTTGTTTTGGCTGCCCGTTTATAATAAGTCTTATTTCATAGTAATAGATTAAGAATGCATATTTAAAACGTTCCTTGGCTTGCAAACGTACTTCCAGTAAAGTATATTAAATTTAACGAAGATTACCATGCTCAGGACAAATTTCAAGTAATCACCCGGAGATGCCAATAAAGAACTTCCCCTGGCAAATGCACTCGAATCTTCGAATCATGCAAAAATACTTTCATTCCTTTCGATTCCAACAGTCTGCACCGTACAGTCTGCCCTCGGCGTCCGCCACTCGGGGCGAGAACTCTTCAGCGGGACTTTAAAGCAAATTAAGTGGCACACAGCGAGAGTCTGGGTATTTTCTGTTGCGAACAGTGGGTGGTTGGGGTGGTGTTTTCCTGCTCCTGGTCTCTTATTATGCATTTTCCCAGGCACCCAAACACAAACACACACTCAAACACGGCCAGTTCCGTTGACCTCGCCTTCATTCTTATAATATAGTAGTACTATACTATACTATGGGTATACCAGGCACTCCACTTGCTGCCACTTCCTTCCGTCGCTCTTTTTTTTCCTGTCGGACTTTTGAGGAGGAGGAGAAGGACCTTTGGAGACGCCATCCAGCGGATGTTCAAATGAATGATCAACGATCGCCGGAAAAAAAATAGAAGGTTTTTTCCTTTAGGAAGCCACCCTGAAAACAGGCTACCATTTCTAGCAGACATTTAAGGCAGCCAGGGAAAACTGAAGAATTAGAGAGGCAAGAAATAAAATAGTTTGGAATTCAACCAAAATGGAAAATTATTATTTAAATTATTAAATAATTTTGAAAAATTTTTAAGTGCATTTTTAAATTATTCTTAATATTGTATAAATTCATAGTATTATTTAAAGGCTTTACCCTTATTTTTTTCCCCAAAAACTAGTCGAATTATAAAGTCTTTGACCCAAAGTTACGGCTCTCAATTTTTAATTAAATTACAATTTGCATACTTCGGTGATTTTCCCCCAGTGAACAATTAAGTTCGAAGGAAACGAAACGAATTAAATAAAAACAGACTGAAGGCAGCATCAAACAACGAAAACAACAACTCCGCAAGGTAATTATATAATCAGGTGTCCATGACAGGCCTCAGTTGCCACGCCCCCCTCACCAATTCCGCCCCTGACCCCCCAGGCGGCCATAAGTGCGAGCGAGACAAAAGGCCTGGCACAAATTGTAACCTTTGATGAAAGTTTTTCGCAAAAACTTTTCGCCACGACAACGAACTCGATTTTCATTATCAGGCAAAGTTGGTCGCATTTGTAGCATTTTGTTGCCGTTGCCGCATTTTGAGCGGTGGTCTATGTGTGCGAGTGTGTGTGTGTGTGAGCCACGCTAATTAACAGGCCTGCCAGCGACCACTCTGTGTTTTCCCTTCTCTGCACTGAAAACAATTTAAAAAAATGTTGACAAAAATTTTAAAATTTTTGAAATATTTAAAAATTTTTTTAAAAATATATATTTATTTTCTTATACATTTTTAAGTATAAGAAATCATATAAACTCCTGGATTTATAAATCAATATACTTTAGCATTACATATTTAAACTCAAAAACAAGAAAAAACAAAATAAGCTAAAAAATAACTTATTATTAAAGGCAATCTTTAGAAATTATTAGCAAATTCAAAATCTACGAAAACTACATATCAAATGAATGTTAATAATGTACTTCAGAAAAATTTCTGAATATAACCCAAAATCACAAATGAACTCTTATTTATTTCGTAATTTTTTGCAGTGTACTCTCCACACACGCTTTTTGTACGGCGGCAAGGCAGAAAACTTTGCCGCTTTTTGCCTAATACGCATGCATACATAATTGAGGGGAGGTCAGCTCCCACACACACACACCATCGCACACACCCGCACACAGCCTCAGCTATTTCCATATGCATATCAATACAGATGCAGACACACTCACACACACGCACAACAAGCAACACTCTAATAAACACAGATACAAAGCCTGACGCACGCACATTAATGCGGTGAGCCTGAAAATCATTGAAGCAACACAAGTAGAAAACCTGAAGAGGAATGAAAAATGATTGAGATAGAATATATACCCTGCATTGTGAGAAAGCCGAAAATATAATTTAAAAAAATACATAAATTAAAGTTAATTTAAATAACAAAACTTATTTGAACTGAATTTACCAAAAGGACCTCAAAGTTGGAAGAAAGCGGAAAATTGTCAATTTTCAATGTGCATTACTGGCAAACGGATTCTTTGTTTGTTAAGGTGTCAAAACATTTTAAAAGTGTCATTCTTTTTCTTTCGAACCTCATACTCAGAAAAATGTTAGGATTTTTTTAACAGATTTATAAACGAAAGACGACATATACTTTTTTTGGAATTTCGTACATTTTTAAAAGCATTTCAATAGATATTTTTTCCCAAACTTAAATTAAGAACGCCCACAAATATTAAAGTGAAGTTAATAATATTGGCTACCTCAGCACTCAGTGATCCTAACAAATTCAAGGTATGTGTATTCGCACATATCCCATTAGTGAGTTTGTGTGGGGTATATAAAAAGGCACTTTACTTTCTCCGCCACCCTTTTGTCCACATATGTGTGTGGGGCACTTTGTATCTATGTGCGCCAGTGTTTTGTGTATCCTTTGGCTGCGAAATTGCATTTCATGAATGGTAATGTGCTATGATGCGAACCTCTCACCTTTCACCACTCCCCCACTCAACCCAAAACTCAAACTCCGCCCATCCGGCGACCTTGCTGGGGGGTGGTCGGCATATCTGTGGCTATTATGGCTCTAGTGGAACGGACACGGAAGCCGAAAAGGTTTCCAGCCCCGAAAATAATGCAAATTGAAGCTAATGCTGCCAGCAGGGGGCTGTGCGAAATTCTAGATGAAGTCGAAGGAGCAAATGTTTGATGAGCCCAATCAAAATGGGAAATGAATGATAATGCGACTCGTTAGTCGGGGAAATGGTTAAAAACATATTCCCAAAACTAAGGTTTTAAGTCAATTTGCGCATTTAATTTAATATATATAATATTTATAAAATATTAAATTAAAAAAAATCGATAGGAAAGGTATTTTATTAAAATCAAAGAGATTCACTCTTGAAAACGAGAGCGCTTATGCTTGAATTCGAGAACAAATTGTGTTGTTTATATATCAAATAATAATCAGCACTTTTAGCAAAATGATTTGTGTTTTATACTCGTTATAAATAAATAAAAATTTCAATAAACAATATATTTTATTATGCTTTCATGTAGATTAAGTGGAAAATAATAAGAGAGAGATATTTTCTTAAAATCGAGAACGATTTACTCTTGAAAACGAGAGCTCTTTTGATTGAATCCGAGAATTTAAATTGTTCTTTCGATTTATCAACTAATAATCACCACTTTTAGCATTTGTGTGTTCTTATGCTCGTTATTGGCAGAGCAAAAAACCTGTTGAGATGGCAAAGTGGAAGCGAAATGTTGTTCTTGTTTTTTAAATGGCTGAACAATTTCAATTTCACTCAAATCGAATTCAAATCCCAAGGTTTCGACACGCTTTGACTGTGGTTCACACAGGATTCTGGCAAGTGGGTGGGGAAAATGGCCTGGAAAAGCGGGTGGTTGGGGTGTCAAAGAGCTGTTGTTTGCCTGGCACAAGCAATCGAATTGAAATTGTTGTCCCTATTTCGATGGCAAGTATTTAGCACATGCACAAATAATTTAAATGCAGCCGAGTCTTCATTTCCTTTGGCTTTCGCCTCGTTATTGAGTGCGCTAATAAATAAATTAGTCCATAACCCATCCATATACCATATAGCATATACCATAAAGCCCACATATATATGTATATCCATTTATGTTCGGGCACTCTGGGGTTTTACAGGAAAAACATAATGTGCATGAACAACGGACAACAAACAGATATAAATAGATGGACAATTTGCTTATTGTTTTGCATAAAAAAGGAGGAAATACAAAAATTTAAATAAATAATTTGCCTGTTGTGTGTGCATTATTTATTTACCGATTTGTTTTAATTTCCCCCTACAAATCCATCGAAATCATAAATAAATGCAAGCAAATCACCCGAAAAGCCCATCTCTCTGTGTGACGTTTCGTGTCACAGATGGCTAAACTGAAAACTAAAACTGAGGCTACAAAAAGCAAACATGAAAACATCTGCTCGGCTAATTGACTAAAGTGCCTCTGCGTTAAATGTGTGCCATAAAAACACACTTGGCCCCATTCGGATGGCATTTGTCACAGCATCAAGTGCCTGCCAATGGAACTCTTTTGCCCAAAATAATACAAAAAGGAAAACAAACCCGTAAACTAGCCACTTAATCACTTGATCTAAACAGACGGTGGCAATTGAAAATGAATTAGTAGCTATTTTGTTGGAAACTAGGATTAAAATTTAAAATTAAGTTGAAACGAATGGATTTTATAGGTCAGTATTTTTAAGTACTACAAATATATCGGATTTCCCATCTTAAAATAAGTTTTTCGTTTATGATCTTAAACCAGTTCTATCTTTATAACTCACCTTCTTTTTTTGTACGAAGAAATTTAATCAGAACTGCAAAAAATAAATAATAAATTCATTAATATTTAATTAAAAGTTAAGCGAAAGCAAAAGGCAATATTAACAAAATATTATTTCTTTATATTTCTAATTTTTATTAAAATTATTTCTCTATATTATCCATTTTTGTTGAAAATTGTTCTATATATTTTCCATTTTTATTATTTTTTCAATATTTTATTGAAATTATTTTTAAATTTATATTTTAAGTTCAGGAGTATTTAAAACGTTTGGCAAAATTTCTCTATCCTAAAAAATGAAGTAAAGCGTATATAAAACCATAGAGAAATCAACTGATTAGACTTTTTTTAGTTAATAACTTAATCCCGAAGTCAGGCCATAAAAAAAGTCCCAATTTATACAACCCTTTTTCATTGCCCACTTGTAATCGTTTCATAATATAGATCTAAGTTTGGGTTTCTGGTAACCGAAATGGGGTTAAGGGGTAAAAAGAGGGGATGGCCGTGAGCCCCGTCTATATGAATAATAGAAAGCTGCATAAAAAATGCAACCGACGCGGCAGCGGCAGCAGCAGCAGCAGCAGCAGAGCATTATGCAAATATGCAAATAAATATCTCTAAAACATTTGTTTCAATTTCCCCCCGAAGCCAAAGCCCAATCCCGAGCTGTACCCCCTTTTATGGCCCCGTAATCCCGCTCAACCAATTCCACGGATGTCACATCGGATGGCCCACAAACGATTGGATTTGGAACCCCCTATAACACCCCTATATCACCCCCTATATCATTCCATTCCATGCTGCTGGCTTGCATAAAATGGTTTTGAGCCTGGTTGGGTTGGAGTACAAAAGATTTTTGTGTGTCCCATAAATTTGCAGCGATGTCAGGCATTTTTTGTCGCTGGTAACAAGAGGGGGGCTGGGGGGTTAGGGGCTCTCTCTCTCTAACCCCCCTTTGTGTTGGCCTTGTAAAACATAGCAATTGAGATTTGTCAGCGGGCTCAGTGGGTTGAGTAAAGTTGGTACGAAAAAATGTGTTGCATACTTTTGTGCATATTTGTCGATTGCCATAATTAAGCCGTAAATGAGGCGAAAGGGTATGGTTTTTGGGGCAGATTTTCGGGTGGTCTTTTTGGGGGGAGGGGCAGGGCGGCTTGCCACATCATTTAATGCTCATTAAAATAACTGCGACGCGTATCCTTCCGCTCTGTCTGTTCCACTATCGTTTTTCCCCCGCCTTCCCCACCCCCTTTTCACCACCCCTGCTCTCCCTCTCTCTCTCTCTTTTGGCATTTGCGGCACTTGACATTTTGCGGCGTTTTAATTTGGCGCACGCTCAAGTGCTCCTCGTATTGCCAACAGCAGTGGATGGCTGGCGTGGGAAAATCGCAAACAGTGGCGGGGAATAAGGGGGGCTACCAAGTGCAAAAGGGGTTGGCCGGGGGCTAAGCTGGCAAATGAATTGCTATAAGGCTAACGGCATGCCCCAGCGGATAACGAGCTTTGATTGCCAGTCGAGAGTTGATGAAATATCATGCATGGCCACCGCAATCTCATCATCATCATCCTCCTCCGGGATCACCATCATCATCATCGGCATTTCCATCGTCATTAGGACAGCAGAGACATGCATTTGGTCTTAAGCCAAATCTATCTGGTAATTGGTTTTGGAGACACAGTTCGACATATCAGACAGTAACGCTTTATCAAGGCTTTAACTGGTATTCTCTTCAAATTGATTTGCCAATATATTCAGGCTTATACCAAAAATTTATCAGGTGAGTAACTAATATTAGCTTTTGGTATTTATGTTTTATTAACCTGGATTTTCTTTATCTTATTATAAATTATCTTTGAGCCTTAAGTCAAAGATAGAAATAGCAAGTGGAGGACCTCTTTTCTATTCAAAAGAACTACAGGATAATATTTTTATTTAAATGTAAATTAAATTTTACGGCATCGAATTAAGAAACTCCTGAGGTATATTCATTAAAAAGTTTAAATGTGCTTATAATAATAACTATCAAAATGTTGAAGAAAATTTTAATTTGTCAAAGAACTCGACAATAGCGTTCTCTCTTGTTTTTTTATTCTTTTAAATGATATTTTTTTTAAGTTTATTTTCTTAGCACAAAAATTAGGACCTATAAATGCTACCGTTCCCAAATTTGTAGCATTATTAAAAAAAAATGTAAAGAAGGAAATCATTTAAATTAAACAATAACATATATCAAAAAATTTTAAATTAAATTTTAATGTAAGAAATCAAAGGGAATTTCTACGGAGGGCCTTCCGGAAAAAAGCTTGAAGTTCTTAAAGTTATTTCGCTGATCTGCAGTATTTATCGGCAAATGGCTTTGGAATTCCACTGCATTCCTCGGTGTTTCGGTGTTTCTTCTTCAGCCCTTCAGCCACTTGACAAGGCAAAAATATCAAGTTGATGTCTTTTGGCGCATTTCTGCCATTCCGCCATCGCCAGCGGCAACTGTCACTCATAATTTGGCCAGAGATACATTAGTGTTATGGGATTGGGCTGGGGATTCCGATTGGGGTTATGGGTGCCCCGTTCTCCTCATACATTTTGAATGCCAGCGACATTAGGTAGATGAGGTGGAGGCTATGGTGTCTTTTATCGCCTTTTCATCGAAGTTATCTTGCATATTGCATGAGTCGTTCGCCATATGGAAATTTATGTGCGCACACACATGCACACACTTGCGCGAAAATCGTTTAAATTTGAACGTGCTCGAGTGTGAGAGTGTGTGTGTGTGTGTGTGAGCCACAAACATGTCCTTATACATCCTTATCGATATGTTGCTCATGTATGTGTGTGCTGATGTGGCTTACTCAGTTATAGATTTCTTAGGGGACCCTGTTTATTATCCTTTTTTATATCCTAGCTGCCTTCTCCTCTGCGTTTCGTTTCGTTTCTCTCTTTTTATTTATTGATGTTGTACATTTGAGTTAAGGGCGCCAAGCGTCGCCGCATTCGTTAGCCATAACTGAAGCCGTTTTTCTTTCCCTCTTCTTCTCTGTATTTTCCCCCCATTTTCCCTCCTTACACATACACATACACACTCACAGACACTCACACAAGCACGTCCCTGCAGTGCATATGAAACTGTAATACAAATATTGCGCATACGCCACATTGGCCCAGTGGCCACAGGAACTGCCCCCAATACCCAGCTGCCAGCTTCCAGCTTCTGGTTACCGGCTTCTACCTTCTAGCACCAAAAAGGCGATCAAAAGTCGACGTCAAATGCCTGGCCACATATTGGTAACCAAACAGTAAACATAACTAGCTCAGGTAACCGGGGCCAAAATGTTATTTACTTTCGGCTTTCGGACCTCCAACTACGCTTAAAGGCGAGCACACACATAAATTGCCATAGAAATTGAACGCAAACGTATTTATTGTTTAAGCGAATGGCCAAAAATAATGGCAGAAGCTTTGCAAAATGCTCCAGAGTCCGGAAGGAAATGAAATGTCAGGTAGTGGGTGTTCGAGTGGAAATAAACAAAAACATTTGGTTATTCTCAAAGAATTTTCGGCCTGCAAGATTGTCAACTTAACAGGCTTGTTGGTTATTCAACCAAACAAAATAATCTCTTTAAAAATATATATATAGAGTTTAATAAAGTTTTTGGTAACTTACATGTTGAACTTAAACCTTTGCAATTTTTTAGGTTTTCCCTTTTTCAGATCTACAGATCCCACTGACATTTTGTGATCCACTTTCCACATTTCCAATTCTCCGCATCACTGCCAAAGCCAAAAATCATAATTGATTCAGTTTTAATTGCTGCAGCAGCAAAAACGCAGCAAGGCGCAGAGAAAAAATGCTGAAAAACGCCGAAAAAGATTCGAAAAAGGAGAGAAATAAAGCGGAGCAAAAAAAAAAGGCCGAAAGCGACAGCCCAAAAGCAACGATCGATTTCATGCCAAGCCTCCCTGAAGTCGCCCCCTCTTAACTCTACGCCCCTGCGCTCAACTGCAGTTGAATCAAATTTAATATTGGCTTGTCACGTGAATTTAACTGTGCCAAGCTGACATTTTGCTGGCTCTCATTTCACGTTAGATTGCACAAAAAAGGCAGAAATGCAGGAGGAGTAGAAAAAGGAGAAAGCAGAAAGTATGTGAATATAAAGATGTAGGCAGGGTGGCATAAATGCAAATAGGGAAATAAAGTACAATTCACCAAAATCTCTAAAAATCTTGCTTTTAAATCAAAGATATGAACCCACATCGGGGAAAAATAAGAAGCATTTATTTTGAACCCCTTCGAATATGTAATATATTTATGATGAGGCTTTTCCCTTTCATTTCTCATCTAAAACATTTTTGATAAGTTTCAAGGATATCAAAAAATCTTTTAAATGTAAGCTTTAACTCAAAATAGGGCACTAATTATTTTGAAATCCTTTAAAAATGTCATCTACTCATAAAAAAGCTTTTACCTTTAATTTATAAATTTTTATAAATATTAAAAACGATTAAGTGTTTTTTTGTCATAAATCTTACAAAATGTTTAAATGTTTATTTATGTTCTAATAAATATTCAAAAATGTTTAAATGATTTTTATGCTTTTATAAATATTAAAAAATGTTGATTTATATTCTCATAAATCCAAAGATTGGCTTTATTAAAATATTAAAAATATGTATTAGTGATTTAATCGATTAAAAATATGTTTAAAAAATACGTATAGCTAGATTGCAGTTGAAAACTTGAATTCTGTTTAGTGCCTTTCGAAATCAGCCCAAAAATTCTCTTTCGCTTTCACTTTTATCTGCGCTTCTTTTCAAGTACAATAGAACTTTTACTCTTAAATCTTTGCCTAATGCACCACGCCCCCAAAAACCTATTAACTCCCAGTCGACAACAACAACAACTTGGCCCTCTCCCATTTTGGCCGTCTCCTCCTGCCATTAAGTGCAACACAAGGACGTCGATGACATTGCTACTCGCGCATTTTGGCCACTTAAGAGTGGCAGTGGGTGGGTGCGAAAGAGACAGGGCTGGGAGTGGG